AAAATGTCACGGATGGTATCTGTGGGCAAGATGTCCTCATTTAATAGGTATAATCTGATGTTACCAATACATAAATAAACCAGAATCAATTTCATTGAAATAGAGTAATTAGACCTTATGAACTTAGGGCAAGAAACGTCTTGGTCCTTCTCACAGAGAGACAGACCATCAGAAAAACTATATATGCATACTTGCCACATTATAACTGCTCAGCCTAGCAAAACTTCAAGTGGAGTTCATGTCTTTGAGAAGACAAGAAGTAATTAGCCACAAGACACAAATCTCCAAGAAAACAAACTTCTGCAGTTGCAATACTTGCAGAACTATTTGTTCATCATAAGTTATGTGTGAATTTCACTGCCTTTAAAAATTAAGTGCAACTTTCTCATCTGGATCCATACAGGATTTGCTGTTGGCTGTCCATGAATCCTGATTCCCAGAAGAAGCAGCAGTCCCTGGACATGAGAAGACACCACCATTTGACCTTGGGCATTATCCATGTACTTAATGTACCTCACTGCAGACATGTCCTAAACAAAGAGCCAGCTTATAAAAATGAAAAAGATTCAAAGAAAAAAATGCTGACTACTAACAGGCAGAGTTGATCCATGCCAAGGTTTTATATCACAGATAAGCAGTGTATGAGGCACTTGTCCTCTTATTAGAATATGAATGTATTAATATGATTCAAGTGACATTTAGGGAAATGAGTAGTCCATTATTCCATAGGGGGTCTCATTAAAGATAGCCTCTCCTGAGATTACTCAATGGCAAAGTTTGTAAGTTGATTAGTAGGAAGCATGGAGAGAATGAATGAACTTCAGTGACTGCTCCTTATAATGACTCCAGGTAATTAAAAAGACCAGAGGTATCTGGAGAATTCTAAGTCTAATAGTGGTCTAACCGTATTTTAAAATCATCTAATGATGGAGTTAATTGAGCTTTAGAATTCATTTAGCTGGTCCTTGCATTAACAAGTAGCCTTTATGTGATGTAGGAATTAGAAGTTAAATATTTTCTCAATCAGTCTTCAAAGATGTTTCCTATTTTCTGTGTTGGCCATTATTAAATAGTAATGTTTATGCAAATTATAGTGCCAAAGCCTTTTCAGTATCGGAAAAGGTTACCCTCATTAACTTTCTCATTAACTTTCAGCCACCATGTTCACAAAGAAGTACAAGACAAAATGGGTGCTCAAGGCAGTGCTACAAGCTGAGTACAAATCCAGGCACTAAGAGGACATAGTCAGGTTCAGGAAGGCATTACTATTCACTGCCTTCTCCTGAGATCTTGGTAAAGAATAAGGGAAGAGACAGTACTCACTGGTAGTCCAAATAGCTGAAGGTTTTATTTTTAACGTGGGTCTCAGTAGAACTGCATTCTCTATATGGAAATGTTTAAAGTGGTCAGCTGAACAGATGAGGATCTGATTTTCTTGGGTGGGATTTAGTTCATTTAACAGGTATGTTCCTGTATCTTGGGAGTGCAATGAAGCAGACCTTTTGAGGAAGTTCCTAAGTTCCTTAGATAGTCAAAACGAGAAAGAGAAATGGCTTTAAGTCCATTAGAGAAGGTAATGTACACCTAATTCCTGTACTCAAACTTAGATGAGTAAGAACTCCCTCTGGAAGTTTTTACAATCACTGTTTGCTGATTCCACCACCTAATGACTCTGAGAAGGTACAGGAAATTATATCAAGAACCATCAAATCAGTCATAATAACAATAATAACATTTAATTTTCCATATTTTTCTGTATTCTAAGAAAAGCTATTAAAAGCTATCCACTACAGCCATGCTGTCTCATAGACAGCCTAATAGCAGGAATGACACTGAGCTCTGGAGGCCTGATCACACTAAGCATCAGCCAAGCTACATCTCCTTGATGTGCTCTTGCCAGAACCTCAGAGGCAACCAGACCCTTCCAGACCCTCAACCTGTTGCTCTGACTACAAGGAAAAATCAGTGCTCATCTGACTGCAACTGCATTAAAAAAAAAAAAGGCTCTATTTGTTACTTTTTTTAATTCTCACCATCTCAAGAATCCATGCATTTTTTCTTCTTTACTGTCATCTTTCTTTCAAACCTTCTCTGAAAATATCTGTCTTCCCATTTCTCTGTTTAATACTCTTGGTATATTTTATAATTGCAAAACATTTTGAAACACATTTTGTACAAAAGACACTGTCCTGAGGAAGGGCCAGCTCACACTGTGTTGTTTGCATAGAGAGCATGAAGGAGGAAGAGCAATAAAAGAGCAACTTAATTACTTTGGAGCCGTGGTGCTTCCTGCTGCCACGGCCTCTGCATGAGGTCCTGACGCAGCCACCAGCCTTGGTGAGAGTGGCCTGATCTTGCTGACAACTCCTCTGGTGCAGCTTTACCCAAAGTCACTGAGCAGCTCACAGCAAACGAACAGGCCACAAAAAGTGGCAGGACATCAATGACGTTGCCCAGGCTAAAAAACTTACAGAAACAGCAGTGACCTTCAAAAAGCACAAAAGCCTTTCTGCCCTGTTCCTCTTTCTGCCCTGTTCTCTCTCCTCTGCTGAACAAATCATAACCTCTTCTAGCAGTGCTGTTCACCTCCCCTTGAGAGGTGCTTTATCCAGGAAAAGAATGAAAAATCAGAGCACAACTGCAAAAAGTAATTCTCACTTGTGGCCTATGTACTCGTATTTTTTGTACCTGAACAAGCTAGGGTGATATGACCTAGCCTACATTGTGTATGTTGAGATTGTGAGACACAGTGGATAGATCTGGATCTGACTTCTCTTCTCTGAGTTTCTTCCAAAGCCAAGGATTACTAGTGACTATGCCTGATGCTCTGGGGTAAGCACATTCATCAGTAGGAAGAACTTGAGAATTTTCTCATTCTTCAGTGGATTTGGCTTTGAGCAAAAATCCACAGAAGTAATACAAGCTCAAGCAATCATATTTTGTTTCCTTTAGAAAGTCCTGGTTTTTTTTTCTGGCCAGTCCTAGCAACAGCATGTCTGTCTTAGCAGCCACTTCAGCTCTGTTGCATATGCCTTTCCTTCTATTCATCTTCCTGCTTGACCTTGGGAAAATTCTTTCTGCTTGTCCCAGGTTGCAATTCCACTGCTGGAATAATTGAGCTGTAACAGACACCCTTCCATTGACTGCTTTCTTATTTTCAAGATTTAAACATTTTGCTTTACTGCTTTTGGTTCTCTTATCTCCTTAGAATTTTGTACCTGGGAACTCATCTATATGCAAAATCAATGTTGAGAGCTCCAATGCACCATCTGTCTCTGTTTATACCCAGTGACATCCCAGACACAGGGCTTGTACCAGAAAGTCTCTACCTCTAGTCTGAGTATACAAATAAAAAAGGATATAGCAAATTCTCTGCATTGTTTTAAATGGTTCCAGTAGGATTATCCACTCTAATCTAACCACTGCCAGTCCTGTAGTATGTGTCTACAACATTTCCTTCCCCACAGTTTCAACAGGCTTTGTTTGCTATTCCCACAGAAGTTTATGCAATCAGCAAGTTCACTGTCAAATGTGCCCTTTTCTGCAGTGGCTGCAAGTTGAAGTGAGCCAGTGGTCTGCTTCCAGGTTAGGAATATCATGGCACTAACTGATACTGTATTCTTTTTTTGTTCATATGCCATGCATGTGGCTTCCACTGTGAAAAGTCAAAGCTAAACAAAAAAAACCAAACCAAAACAAAAAAAACACCCCACAAAAACCCACAGAAACGTTGATTTCCTTTTTCATAGGTGAAATATGGAGCATTTTTGCCATTTGAAAGTCAAACCTGTCTCTTATATGCCACTGCATTCACTGGTTATTATCAAGGAGAAATAAGGCTCATTCTTGGGAATTATTTTTCCTTTAAGTTTTGTCTTTTTCCTATTTATTCCCATGTCTTGTTCCTCCAAGGCTGACCGTTTCATGACATTCCAAGTTACTCTTCTACAGAAACTCTGTAGACTGTATCAAAGAAAGCACCTCTCACAGAAGTGCCTCTGCAGCACATTATGGACTGCACATCTCCCTAAGAGCAATTTAAAATGAAGAACATCCTTTTCCAACATCCTTTCAGAACTGCACATGGACATTAGCCAGACACAAGACTGAGTTGCACAGTGTGCATCTGCTCTTCACAGTGCTCATCACTGATGTCTAACCCACAGTAAAGTCATTTGGCCAAAAAAAGCATGGATGAGACAAGCGTACCAGAAGCCAGATGAACCTTTCCTTCCTCAGTGTCCATGGAAGGAAATGCGTCTGATCCAACCAAGATTTTCTCAATATTTCATTCCAGAGCATGTGATACCTGTAGGTAAGTCGTTCTCCAAATGAACTAGGGAAGCCAGGTTTTGTTCTCATTTACACTACCTTATTATCTCAGTTGATCTTAGCACAACCATTAATTCACTCCAGTGTACATGATGTCAAAGTATCCCTGAAAGTCTCAGCAGCCAGCCGAAAACCTGGCAGAATTTTCAAAAGTCATGTGCAAGTTTTCACTTTCCAGGAAACCTCTTTTCTAACCCACTCCTTTGCTAGGTCCAGTTCCCTTCACGGTGCCACGATCTGACCCCCTCTGCAGACACTCTGCTCCGAAGGATCTCGCCTCACCCACGGGCAGCTCTGCACGGTGGAATTCGGACTTAACAAGGGGGGGTTGTTTGTTTGTTTGTTTGTTTGTTTAAAGGGACCAGTCCCGGCCCGTTTCAGGGATGTATGCTGTCCGACAGCCGCGGCACGGTAAGAGCCGGGTGTCGATGCGGGTTTGTACGATGCCCAGTGCCTTCCATCCCCTAACGCCGGGTGAGGTGCGGGGTTCGCCCCACTTCCAGCTGAGCGCAGCGCCTCGCCGGGGATCCTGCACAGCCCCAGCCCCGCTCCCACCACAGCCCGCCCCGTCCGGGCGCTGGGGCGGGCCGGGGGCGGCGGGGACGGGCGAGGGGCGGTGGGTATGGGCGAGGGGCGGGCCGGGGGCGGTGCCGCCTCCGGTGCTGCGCGGGACGGCAGCGGGAGCCGGGGTCGGGGCTGGAGCCGCGCCGGGGAGCGGCGAGCGAGGAACGGGGAGCGGAGCTGCCCCAGTGGGGCAGCTGCGGGCGGGAAGGTGCCGCGCTGCCCCTGCGCCCGAGCCGGAGCATCCCGGCGGCGTCAGCCGTCTGCTTTTCGAGGGAGGTGGGCACTCCGGGTGCGGGGTGTTTTTTCCTGCCCCTGCCCTCACCGGTGCGCGTTGTTCGGGCTCTCGGTGCCCGCGGAGCCTCGGCGAGCACGGCTGCCCGGCGCTGTGGCTCGCACGTTCCCGCAGCGCCGGGGCCGCTCGCTGCCGCTGTCCGGCGCCGAGGGTGCCGCGCCGGCTGAAGCGGATCCCGGCGGATCCCCGGCGGGTTTGGGAGGCTGCTGTGCGCCCTGGAACAGCTCCCGCCGCGCCTCGCCCGTGCTGCTGCTCCGAGGGAGCATCTCTAGCGGCTTGCCTGTCCTGTGCTGTAACCAAGGGCATTTGATTTTCACAAGCGTTTAACCGAGGTATGTGTTTTGTGGCCTGCGCTTGATCGTTCACAAACGTGTTTTGGAAAGAACCTGTATTAAGCCTAACTCACTTCGCGGGTTGGCGAGCGCTTGAATTGAACGAACGCTTCTTGGGTTTGGAGAAATTGCTTTCGGCGGAGGCAAAAAAGGGGAACGCTCTGGGAGAGCGCGGTGACAGCGCGGGGCTGCACATCTTCTGGAAGGAGGCATGCGGAGAGAAGGGAGGCACGGGCTGGTTTCTTTTGCTAAAAGATGCTGCAGCCCAGGGGTGTGATAGCGCAGACCATTGGGTCATCACTGTGCAAGCAAATTCTTGGCTCAGCGGGCATAAGCGCGGGCTGCCGCCCGTGTGCTCTTTCACAATGCTTGCAGAAAGCTGACGGGGAAAGCATTGCTCCCTCTGCAAATAAATTGTAACACGCTTATCCATTGTAGTGGGAGAAGAGCTGAGCTTAGACAGCACAGCATGGAAAAAAACGCAGGATGGATGCACAAAAATATGCCCTTTGCAAGCATTTTATGTCTGCTTGAAAGCTGCAGGCTGTTTCAACATCATCTTGCTAGATGCAATAAAGTTTGGAACAGAAATCAAGTGACGCAAACTCTTCCTAGCCTTGCAAATACTAAACAGTTAAAGGCAAATTGTGAAAATAGTGCTAAAGGGCTGAGAATTTGCCATGATGATTAAGATTTATATAAGCAAAGACAATTAGGAATGCATACTAGCTATTATTTAATTAATGCTCAGCTAATTGTAGCAGAATGGGAGCAAGATGAATAGGAGAAATGTATAAAAACTGGACCATATAAGATGCATATAGTGCTGGCAGTTTTATTATGATAAGGGATCCAGCTGGCACGTCATGTCTGTTTCCTTGTGCTTTTGCTTTTTACAGTCATTTTGAACCCACTCTAACTTTCCTGTGCCTGAACAGACTGAAACAAAAGGCAGCCTGAAACCACCAGCTGCCTTCTCTCTGCTATTATGCCTAGAAGGGCTTGTTCCCCTTTGGGATGGTTGCTGGTTGTAGCTGTGCGCTGGCTGCCTTCCTTTCCCACCTCTTCCTCAGACTGGGTCACCCCTGTCACCCAAGGTGCGGAAAGAAAAGGCAGGCATGTCCCCCCTGCCTCCCTCTTGTTTCCCCAGCTTCCCTGTGCTCTTTTACACAGGCTGGCCTGCCCGAAGGCTGCTGCTTTCTACATCCAGTACTTCTGCTTTGCTGTCAACAAGATATATGTTGCAGGACCTGGAGCTTCTGGGCAAGGGGTCTTGGGCTATTGCAGCATCCAGGTCTAATCTAGTACTATCACCATGTGTGTATGTATGTGAATTTATTTGGCATAGGAAATTATTCTTGTGGGCATTTTGCTAACCTTTTCAGATGTAAAAGGCTGAACTGGGTAGCTTGCCTCTGCCAAGTGTCCTTGCTCATAATTTGGTCTTACTGGTGCAGTGCAAATTGTAAATTGTATTCTGTAAATTCCCTATCGGAGGCAGGAAGCAACGGAGCCTGTCCTTGCACCCCATCTACACAGAAGCAGAAGAGGAATTATCTCAACAACAAGAGTACATTCAGAAGTTGCTGGAAAATTTGATGTTTCTGATAGGTCTGAGACTTGGAATCTTAATACTAAAAAGTCAGTATATTTTCACCACTACCTCCTGCACTCTTCAGCAAGCAGTCCTCCCTCTATGTCTTCATGACTGCGGTTGCCTCCTTTTCCTGGCTTGCGCAGAGGAAATCCTGTTATGACAGAGTCAATCCATGGCGCTGCTGCAAAACCCACCTCTTAGCCTGCATCTCCCCTCTTTGTCAGCCTTTCTGCTGCGCCCTCTTTCCCCCTCCATCTGACATGAAAGTCTGAGGCTTCAAGTGCCCTTGACAGTCACCGTGTACATGAGGTACCAAGTCTCCTGTTTTCCCAGGATGTAGCCCTGGGCTTTGATCAGCCTCAGCATCTTTCTCCCTCAAGCCATCATCTCTGCATTTCTCTCAGGTCCACGTTGTGCTTGCTTGTAACTTCATATAGGCACTTTGTCCATCATTCCTTTAATTTCCTTGAAATGTCCCAGAACATTTGCTTTGGTTTGATGCCTTCAGCAGCCATCTGGTGAGATGCTGAGACAAGCCCTCACCCGGTCTGTCATCATCCCTGCCACTGGAATTGCACTTGCTCTGGACAGGAGCACGACAGTGTCCTCTAAAGCTAGGCCATCTGAGACGCAGTTGTTGAACAGATCACTCTATCTAGCACCAGCAGAAACTCTCCTTCCATAGCCTGCATTATCCTGACTTGCTCTTTTTTGGCATTTCAGGCGCAACCCTGCCCCCTTATGCTTGCACAGCACAGCGTGGTTCACTGCAGCTCCCTTTGCAATCATGTTGACTCTTTGCCTGAGTCGTTGCAGGCTGTTTTGCAAACAGGGACTATATGTGAATATTAGGCACACAAATATGCGTGGTTTCTTCATCAGGGGAGGGCAAGCATACAGCCTGTGTCAGTAAAATAAGGAATGGTGAGGATAGGGATCTTCTGTTACAGCAGTGAGGGGAAACAGAGAATCAAAGGAGAAGGGTGTTTTCTTACTTTTCTTAGTAAAGCACAAGGTACCCAAGTCAGGAAGCAGAGTTACAGTGAATGGAGTTACTGTGATAGCACATCTGTGCCTAAAACTCCCTTGACATTTAAATGTACAGACATTTAAGTGTAGTTGATACTGAATCTGCAATTTTTTTGAGAGGAAAAAAACCCTGAAAATTATGCATTAACAGAAATTTCTGTTGAACCAAGTGTAAAAAATTGTGTCCTAGCTTTATATTGTGACAAAGTTCCTAAGAAGGTTAAAATGAAATCTGCTTGACATTTTTGGGTGTGATATCGATTTATAAAATTTATGATTTATGAAATGTGTGATTTATACCTGTTGTTTTTATAAAATATATTGAAATCAGCATATCAGCTGAATTTTGCAATAGGAAGGTGTTTTCCTATTGTTCCAGACTCTACTTCCTACATCTTTGCTAGTTAAGGACCAATAACCCCCTTGACTAGCAAAATTCACTTTGCTTCTACTGTTCAGAAAGTTCCTTGCTGTGGTCTGCCCAGAATTCTCCCGCGATAGGAGTGGATGTTCCCACATGGAGAGTAGGAGATGAGGGCTCTCAGGTACGCTCGTGCGTGCAGCCACGGCATTGGCATCGGGCAGGAGGATGTGCTGCAGCACTGGCAGAGACAAAGAGAGCTTAAGTCCATTCAGTTCCAGATCTAGCCACACTTTGTCCTAAAACTGCATTCCTTGTAGATTAAGGGGATGGCTATGATACTTTCGAGGGGTTTTCCCCCTCTACCTGGAGATGGACCTGAGGGTGTAAGCCCTGCACGTTTTTAGTTTCACACATGAGTGTAATGGAAAATGAAAGCAAGCTCTGATAATAAGGACTGCTTGCCCTGGAGCTTGGTGTTTTATCTGGTATGATATATTTGGTATGATATATCTGGTTTTGGTCTGAATAAACAATGTGCAGGAGTTGAAGCACTGCCCCATGAGAAGTGTGGTGGCTTCAGGACAAGCAAAGGCAGTGCCCAGCCCTCCACTGCATGGCCACTTGGCCTTATTTGTGGAGTCCAGTGCTGCTCTGCCTGTGTCAAATAAAAAAGGTGGTTATTGGGAGCCCATGTGGAGAGTCACGTGTGAAGTGGCAAAGCTTAATTAACTTGTTTGTTCTGAGATTAATTACATCACCACTATGCCACACAGACGTATACTGGATGGAGTCTCCTGAGAGGCTTCTCAGTTGGTGGGATGCTCCACACAGCCTTCGGAAAGAAGGGGTAGCAGGAATGGGAGGCTCAACCACTAAAGAAGGCAACAAGGCAGAAGCAGTTGAAATACTTTCATACACTTGTTCCACTGAGGAAAATGGGTTTTAATGGAATTTTCATTTCTCATTAAGCAGCCATTCCACACTACACTAAATTTTCTTCCAAAAAACTTCCAAATCAGATGTTGCAAGAAATCAAACAATAAATTATTACACAAAATGCAGAAGTTACGGATTTCTGACACCTGCTGGTTTCTCCTCTTCCCTGGCTAACCTTGCCCTGGACCTCTTTTCCAGCCTGGCACCTGGGATCTGCCACTTTGACAGTGACACCTTAGTGGCTGTTTTTTACTGTAGAAGTCAAATACCAAGATTTAAAGCTGTTATGAGTGACCAAATGGCTGTGTGAACCTTCATGTCTTCTCTGCCTGATCACCCACTGTCATTAAACTTCAGGAGCTCAAATCTGTTTTGAGGTTTCTGCCTGGGTTGAATTTGGCTGAGAGTGGCAACAAAAGTTATTCAGAGTGGCAATAAGGGGAATAGATTTGGCACTGGACACCAAGAAATCAAATATGACCCATCCCTAGGGTCAGCAAAAAGTAGGCTGTTGAGTTTTGGGTGGGTTTTTTTCAGCAACCTTTATTTTTCCACAGGAAATTTTCAAAAGACAAATAAATATTTTTAACAAACCAGGACAGGAAAGAGACTGATCTCCTTGGTGACCGTATTCTTTGAGATTGGCGGTCTCATAGGAGGCTAGACTAGTACGGCCCCCTTTCTCTATCTAAGGTCTCAGAGGCACAGCGGTGAGACTCCTTACCCCTCTCCACTCCTGAGAGATACAGGGAACAGATAGATTCCTACTCCTTGCATATCTTACTAGCACAGTGAATGAATACACTGTTTGGGCCAAATCCTTCTATAGGGTACTACTACACCTGAAACAGTAAAAATAGCTGTGAGAGACATTAGAGTGGTGCAAGAGGATGATTGACTGTGGGATACAACTGTGTATGGCAAGAGGTCTTCTGAAGATAAGCATATTGATGTTCTGGTCCAAGTATTTCTCTGTTCTTCAAAGATAATTAAAAGTTCTGCCCTCCCCACCTCACTGTGTACACCTGCCATTTGAATATGAATGCCTGCATTTAGGAAGCATCAAGGAAGCCTTGTGTTTTTCACTTTGTGTTTAATCAGCCCAAGATTTGGTAGGCTCTAGTCCCCTTGCCTTACTGGAGATTGTGGCACTGTTGTATTGAATGAGGGGCTAAGTGGGCTGAAGCAGCGCTCTGTGTATCTGGGGGGAGATGGACTAACAAAGATTCACCCAAGAAAAAAGAGCAAAATACTTCATATTTGCTTTGGTTGAAGATACAGCCCTGTTGCAGAGATCTATGCCTCTTTCCCCGAGGAAAGACAGAGAGGGGAGGAAAAGGATCTCTGCTACAAGCAGACAAAACTGAGGGGTATAGGATAGAGCTCTTGGCCATGTGAGGCGTATTTGCCAGAGAAAATGCATACAGGGGCTGCTGTACCCCCTCTCCATCCTGCACCACACCTGCCTCAGCCTCAGAAACAGTTCTGGGCGAGGTGACAAGGGTGCACACTCTCACATCCAGTGCATATCCTGGGTCCATCTCTGAGCAGCTGACTTTGGGGTTCACTTACATCCTCCTACCTCTCCTTCACAAAGAGATGGTCAGGAAGCTGTCTGACTCCCTTTGGTATAGTCAGTGTTATCAAAACATTTGGATTTCAACAATACTGTATTTTAACAGCTGCACTAGACAATTTTCTTTATTGAACTTGGAGAGGCTTAAAGCAGAAGTGATTCAGTGACTGAAGGGATGAAAGCAGCACAACAATGCATCAACATCCATCCCCAGAGATCTGCTTCTCTAACACAGTCAAACCAAATGTGCTGAAGGGGCAGAGCTCTAAGATGTACAATGATTGTGAAAGTGTCTTTTGTCTCCCAGAGGGGAAAATCTGTTTGAGAGTGGCCCTCTTTTGCTTTAATCTGTATCATTTCTTCATACATAAGAAATTTAATTTACTTTATTAAAAACAATTCAGGGGCTATGTTTTAATTTTAGGTTTTGAATGCATGTAACACACAAAATTCTTCTAGCTATTAATGTGCACATAACATATTCAGTTTGGATATTTCAAGTATGTGAAAATTTAAACTGCAGATAGTCAGAAATAAAGAGGATGAATAAATAATAGTGTGTAATCCAAAAGACCTGATTCCTGACAGGAGTCTTCAGGGTATAATGTGAAATGAATTGGAGAGCAGATACAGTGTTCTAGTACTTAAAAATGTGCCAGAGGACAAATGTCTGTCTTGGTCCTTCAGCACACTGAAAAACAAGAGTAAGGTGTTATCAAAGCCTGTCTGTAAAACAGAGTTCTGGATCATGGTTTTGATGCTGTACATGCCGTGCTGTAACAGGGCCACAGAAGGATGTTGTTAGCAGGAATAAAACACAAGCCAGGGTTCCAGTTGATTGGGCTTTTTTCCCCTGAAATTTCTGCCAGTAAGAGCAGTCAAAATTCAGCACCTGTCCTTCCTTTATTTTATTATTATTGTTGGAGTTGTTACTATAGACTTCCACTTTTATTTGCTTTTTTATAGGGGCTTTTCTCAGCATGCAGTCCCTTTAGATTTGGGCGTGAACACCAACCACATCCTCTGCATTGGACATTTAGCGTCTGTTTCCATATCTTCTTTCTGCTTGTAAGTATTTTATTCTTTCTCCTTGCTCATTTTTATTTTACTTTTACTTACTACTTTTAAAGACCAGATTTAACTCACAGGTTCTGGGTCTGATCCCAGGTCACAATGTTTTTGATTTACATTGATACAAATGACTCTATAATCCACAGATCCATGGGAAATGTAAATTAGAGAATCGTTGGAGCCTATCTGAATTAATCTGGTATCCTTATGGCTCAGAAGGTTTCCTTTTTACAGCCCCACACAAACCCCCAAGCAAAATATAACTTGATTTTAACCTGCAACCAAGCCATCTGGGCACTTGTCTTCTTAGATTTTCAAAGACATAAATTTAAATCATATTAAATCATAATAAAAAATGAAATTAGATAATAAATTAAAAGGAAAACTTTGCTTGTGGCAGGAAATAGTTTTTCTTTTCCTTCTGTGCTCTATTTTATTGAGTCAGTTGGCAATTGATCCTGTTTCCCAGGCAGAGTGGAAAGGGGATTCTCTGCTCCTGGAAGGTCCATCTGTAATGGAAAAAGGAAGCATCCTACTTACTTGTGGTCTTTAATTGCCAAAGGCATGCATCCGAGATGAAGTATTAAGGATCATATTCTTGTTAAACTGCAAGCTAGAAGTCATTCTTTGCCTTTCCTACCTACATTTTCAATGGAATAAAATGTTGCTCACATCTTTTTTCCTATCTAGAGCTACTGTCTTATTTAGTTGCATGATGTTAAACTGCTACACTTTTCCAGTCTAGAGCATATTGCCTTTCAAGGCTGAAGTGCTCCTGGTACATAAAATTCATTCAGCCCTTTAGTATGAGCATGCAAACATATTTTTATTGGCATTAAATATTTTGTGTTACATGTTTGCTGGAAGGGAAATATTGGCAACCTAGGAAGGAAATAAATGTAGAAACCAAGAGTGGGAAGATGAAAGAATTAAACCAGGAGCTCCCTGACCTTCATACATATATCAATCTAGTGAAGACTTGCTGCCAGCTTTTGGGACCACTCACTGTGATAGCAGAACCTGGGGAGGAGCAACACATCTTTAGGGATGAGTAAGTCTTGGAACTGGCATCACCATATCACCTGGGAACCTGCACAATCTTTCTCCTGCTCTTCCTGCCCTGCTACAGCATGTTGAAGTTTGGCCAGACGAGGGACCTCTCTGTTGTAACTGTGCTAAAGGCAAATTAAGATCTCATCTGTTAGGAGATGTTTACCATTAGGGCTTTCTAGGATACCTTCTACCTGTAAAGAAACAGTTCATAGGAGATTGTGACAAAAGTGTTAGTTTATGTAATACACAAACGTTGATTTTCTTTGATGTCAATTTGTCTCTCTGCTTTTGAAGACACTGAAACGTTTTGAAGACACTGAAACAACCAAGACATTTCTCAGCTTGTAGTCACAAAAATACAGGAAAAGCCAAGAAAATGAAGTGCTTTTCTGTGGGTGATAAACTCACAAGAAATTGAGTCTACCAGACCGGTTTTCAGGGTTTCAGTGGTGTGAGTGCAGGCCATTAAATTATATCTGACTGAGCCTGGAGAAGTAGAGTTGTTGCATCAAGATATATGAAGAAATACAATACAGGCAGTAAAGCATTTACAACATTGGGATGATGAAAAACCTCTGTTCATGCCATCCTGCAGAGTGTTGCAGTCTCATTTAATATTCACTTTAGTCTGAACTGGGAGATGGCTATTGTCTTAGCAATGCTAAAGATTAAATTACATATGTTACATATAATTTGGCACTCAGGGCATATGCTAATTGTGAGGCCTCTGCTCCTGACCACATTTACATTTCCTTACAAAACGGATTTTCCAGCAGGTCCCATCAGATATGCAGTAGTGCCAAGCATTGGCATGGCTGCTTAGGCATGGAACTGCTGGAACCTGCACAGTGATACACTGTGATGCCTTGCCTGATCCCTCACCTGCTCAGTTTGCCCTTCTTCTGGTGAATGCCACCTTGCCCATCTCCTAATTACCACAGGATAAAAAGAAATATGAAAAACTCCAACTGAGCCTGCCTACAGTATCTGCCAAGTCGGCTTACCCCAGAGTAAGAGTGGTTGTCCTCACCTGTGAGAGGTATTTATACCAAGGATGTGAATGAAGAAACAGTGCTGGGAGAATATAGCTAAATAGTGGCCCTGGCTGAAAAGCCAGGATGTACAAATGACACCATGTATGTAGGAGAGCCTTGCACTTCCTTTTCTGCCAGTTCTCACATTTGAGGACCAGAGTGGCAGAACAAGGTTTTGCTCTCTTGTACATCTAAAACCAGCAGACTGTGGAGGTAGAGTCTGTGCCTTCTTGGACCTTACTGAAATGTGTGAATCTTCTTGGCAGATTGTCCGTCAGAGCAGCAAGGCTGTGTAACAAAGGAGCAATAGCAGCCGGAAATCTCAGCCATAGTCAGAAAGGCAGAGTATGATCTGGAGCCTTCAGCAGTGAGGCTGCACTGGAGGACTCAGGGAGCCTCCTCACGTCACACAGCCCTGTCCTGGCATTGCAGAGGTGCCTCTGACAAAGCAATCCAGATCCAGCTACACCATAAAACCTGAGTCCCCCTGCAGACAGGTGCCAGTTCTGCTGTCCCAGCAGTTTTCAAGAGTGGTTAACTGGAAAGACGCCTCCTGTCAGACTGAGTTCTCCATCTGCAGTCATTCAGGAGCAATACTTGCAATTCATTCTTTGCCTTAAACTAACTCAACTTTCCAAAAACAGATGAGGGAAAGGCAGGGACGACTACAGAATGTGAAACTTTGCCTCCATGGTTCATTTCCTGGGTCAGTTTACAGCTCTCAGAAAGACAACAGGTTTATTGCAGTTTACCAGCTTTGCCATTATGCTTTGATGTTGTGGCAAAATTCCCAATCATTTTTGGGGACTAGGTATGGGCTAAATCTTATGATGTTGTTGTATTTAGTTTTCAGAAATGCAAAAAAAAAAAACCTAATTAACAAGAAAGTGAATTTGCCATCTGACTCTCTAGGGGTTTTTTCTTCAGGAGGATCAGGGTAAGAGAGACAGACAGTTCATGGCACTTACCTTCTTCTCCCAGCAGAAGCAGGAACCTGAGCTGAAGTAGTGGCTGTGGTGCACTGAATGAAAGTACTCATGGCTTCATTTGGAATCAGAGTTTACATCACTACAAAACACTCATTTAAAAATAGCCTGGGTGATGTTGTAAGACCTATAAAAGCTCTTATTTAGCAAAACACATCTCTACTTAACTGAGGTTCTGATTAGTCCTATTTAATACTATAAATTTTCCACTGACTTCAAAAAAAGTCCCTAAAAATGCCAAAGTTATTCCTTGTACCAGGGTCAAGTGCTAGTAGTAAAAGCAGAATGTAGCAGATTTCAAATTTGTGAGAAATTTAAAGGCTTTCAACTTCTGCCATGTTAAAGAATTCATGTGAAGTAATTCCTTAAATTATTATGGAGCAATTCAATTAATAACGGATCTAATTTTCATTATGACACGTAATTAAGAATAAACATCTTCTACATCAAAGCCTATCTTTTAAAAAGGATAAATTAGCTATAACACACTTAACTATTTCCAGAACATGAAATGAACACATATTGTTCCATTAGTTAATTTTATATCACCAAATTAAAGACAGTTCAAAAGGAGTTTAATCTCATAAGGATCTCTCTTTGTTCAGTCTGTTGTGACTTATTTCAGGAGGTACAACAAATACGGTTACCTATGGGGCTAAATACTATTAGGGTGATAAAGTGGTTTTAGTTTAGTATATTTTATGCATCACTATGAGTTATAGACCATAATGGTAAGAATATTTTTATCTGGTATTTGCAGATGCAATTTTGCACTCCTGTGTATCTTGCAGGCTGATGGGATGCTTGATTGAAACCACCAAAAGCTCCACTATAAAACAGCAAACACAATAAATAAACAATAAAACAACATCTGGAATGTAACCTTTTGTCCATAGCCCTTAGATAGTCCTGTCATGCTTGCTGGGCTGGCAGGGCTGCCCATTCCTTGGGATTTTGCTTGGAGGGGTCAGAAGCTGCGTCACTCCAGGGAAACATGCCTGCCATTAGTAGCTCAATGGGAGAATTACAGCAAGATACATTTTCATGTTTGAAACCATTCAAAACATTTAATAAATACAGCAAGAGAGCAAGTCTGGCAGATTTTCTAATTCTGGGTACCTTTGGCAAGACACTGTGGAGTAAGTAGGTAAAATGGATTAATTGTCAACTGTTATGTTGAGTGGCTTTGCTCATCTAGGTTGAGGAGCTGAAGTCTTGAGAGGGAGTTTTATTACTTGACTAGATTTTTTATCACAAGATAAACTGGATTCCAGTACCTCTGTCCCATATAAAGTACATTTTTGACTGTGCTCTTCTGCAATTAAAAAACTCATGGTTGGAAAGAGTCAATCCATTAGGATTCAGTAGGATTTCTCCTAATCCCTGCATTTTGAAAAATTGAGATATAGAGATAATTGCTAATTAATTCTTTAAGAATTGCATCTTCGAGCTAAGAAATGTAACTCTTAAGACCTAAATTATATCAGGTGCACATTATCTGCTAGTAAATTAACCTTGCTTCTTTTTTTTTTCCCCTTGCAGTTCTGAAGGATAAAATCTTAAATTGTCCTGGACTTGAGCAGTAAAGGATTATTTCATTCACTGGCTGACTTGCCATCTCACCATTGTGATGGAAAAATGTTTGCTTAAAATAAACCCTTTTCATGCCATTAAAACTGCCTTCAAATACAAGATCTGTTGTGATTTTTAAAACACAAACCCAGTAATGTCAGAACCCGACTCTTCATCTGGATTTGTGGGAAACATGGAAAATGGGACTTTTCTGGAGCTGTATCCCACATCCCTTTCAACTTCAGTGGATTCATCACCTGGCCGTTTATCCAACGTCTATGTCTATGTTTCCATATTCCTTAGTCTCTTAGCTTTTCTCCTTTTGCTACTGATCATTGCACTCCAGAGGCTGAAAAACATAATTTCTTCCAGTTCCTCCTACCCTGAGTACAACAGTGATGCTGGAAGTTCGTTCACTAATTTAGAGGTTTGCAGTATTTCTTCCCAGCGCTCTGCTCTCTCAAACCTTTCTTCATGAAAACAAATGAAAGGAAACACACGAGGAATGGAAGAGCTTTGTCTGGTTTGTTGGGGAGGTAGTGCATGTAACATTTGCCTTAGAAGACTATTATCAAGAGGTGTTTTTGAAAGTTTCCTCATTTTTTCCCCTCTCCTTTTCTAGTTTTCATTTCCTCTTTAACTAATTTTAATTTTGGACAAAAGATAATGAATGATACCTGATAATCATTTCTTGCCTGTAATAGTGATGCTGTCTCTTTCTCACACATAGACGGTGTTCATTAAAGAGTGTTCCTGCCAAATAGTAATACACTTCTAACTGGAAATGTCATTTTTCTGCTTTAATTGTGACCCCTTCCCTGGTCTTGTGTCAGCAATATGCTGACTGTTTTTCTTTTCCTTTTTTAATTATATAAGGACTTCTGGATGAAATCCCTATTGCAAAAGTACAAAAAAACTGCTTAAATGATAAATACTGGGACAATTTAAAGTTGATATTGTTTCCCTTTTTTTAGTTTTCACATATTTTTCAGTGTTTATTGATGTTTATAAAACACAACTAATTCTTGAAGAATGTTGCTTTTGTTTATTTGTACTCCCAACTCATTCTGTATAAAGTCTGTATTTCAGTTTTTGAGTCTCTTTGGTTAACTGAGTAAAGCGACTACAATAATGCTCACGGTTGAATGTGTGGAGGTATTTTTGGACCCTGTTGCACTTCATTATCTTATTTGCCTAATAACATGTTCCTCCAGGGGGCAGCTTTTGCTGCTGAATCATAAATACCACACATTCATTCTACACCAATACTACAGCTTATTCTTAATAGATACCAGGACATAGTAGGGGTTTCTTGTAAAAGACCTGCATTTACCAAATACAGGTACCAAGTGAGGAGTTCCTAAACTGTCCTTTAAGGATATGATGTTTGTACTCACGTGAGCAGGGCCAGCAGGGACAGAAATTGCTAGTACTGATGAGGACTTTCTGGGCCAGCCTTTGTCCTGTGATTTCAGAAATGTGCAGTGGGTGGAGGGGGGCACACATGCACAATGTCCAGGAGGACCTGAGCTCTGACCTGCAGGAGTGCAAGTTGTACCTGCAGAGGGTAGGAAGGGATGGGCAGGATAAATAGCAGTGGCTCTGCCACTTTTCCCCATCAGAATAAGGGAAGGCCAGCTGGAGGGGAAGAGAAATGGATTCACGATCTCACTCCTCTTTGTCATGTCTTTTTCTGGGTTATCACTTCCCCTGCTCAAAGTATAACATGTCACTCCATTTCTGCAGTAAAATAATGAGCAGCTTTGTGAACTGGATCCTGTAGTCAGCTGGGCTTTAAATCAAGCTAAACATTCAAATTTATGATTTGAAGTGCCAAGTGTGACTAGAACTGCAACCCCAGACTGGTGCAATGCCTTCTTGTCCTTACTGTACTGTGTGAGCAAGCCCATGCAAATTTTGTTCTCATGGCTGGATCCAAGTCACTGGAGAGACCTAAGAAAGGTATGGCATTGTCACTGACATAACACAGGTGTACCTCTGGGAGACAGGGTTATCTCAGCAGGAGCAGCTGCCCTCCCCTCACATGGCACCACTGCCCAGCAGGCCGAGGGGTTAGGGAACACTTCCCAAACACATTTATACCTCTTGCCAAGCTGTCCATGCATTTGTAAACAAGACAGACTCTGCCATTGACTATACAGTCTTTAAAATACAAATTTGGAAATTCTGGTGTAAATATAATCATTAGAAATGCAGCTGTTGTTGCCAAACAACACAGATGACGCTGCAATTGGTGTTTTCAGATTTTAAAATTAGACATGCAGCATGGTAAGTGGTAATGACTTATGGTGGTGATTAGTTCCTTACAGAGGCCAAAGAACTTGCTGACTAATAAAGAATGTAAACCTGCAGATTCCCTGAGCCAAACTGATTTGATGGATATATTTACAGCTTGGAATATTCTATTCATCTAGACAAAAGTTTCTTGTATGTCACTTTTCACTGTATTTGACAACTGGCCTTGAAAAAAGAGGTAGTTGTTTCAAAGGGATCAGAAAACATTACTTCTCTTCTGAAAGCTCTTTGAAATCCCAAACCTGTTACAGAATGTATTTGTGTGTTCACTGGCAGATAGAAATAAACAAATTGTAAATCAAGAGAGAGCAACTGTTTGACTATCTTCCCTTACTGACAAAGATGTAAATTTGTTGCTTCCTTTGCTGCAAATGGAGGAATTTAATCAAAACCAGAGATGAGACCACAGATCAAGATGGGTGTTTGTTCCCAGTAGTGTGTTTATACTTGCAGATATAGAGACATTTAATATTAAAATATAAAATATAAACTGTTGAAACCCCATCGACTGTGTTCAGTGAGCTGTTGTCAAACTTCACCAAACAGAAAGCATTTTTCCTACTGCAGAAAATAGCTACAATAACTGAAACCACACATTTGATTTTGCTTTGTAGTTTACTAGATGCTCTTAACTTTTTTTCCACTCTGCAGTGACATACAGGACTGCATAGTCATCACGATTTCAGCTGAGTTGCATCTGTTCTCTTCAGGACAGATTTGACTAGAAACAAGTCGGTTCCAACAAAATGGCATCAGGAGAAGCCACAGGCAAAAGGCACAATGGTATTTTTGGGGATTGTTAAGCACCAGTTCTTCAAGAAAAAAAGAAAAGACGAAGAAGAAAAGAAATCCACCTGAGAATCTGAGACTAAGTTAACCTGAGAACACTGGACTAGGCTTCCTAGGGAGGTGGTGGATATCCCAAACCTGTCAGTGTTTTAAAAGCACTTGGACAATGCTGTTATCAATATGCTTTAGATTTTGGTCAGCCCCAGAGTGGTCAGACAGTTATACTAGATGATCACTGTAGATACCTTCCAGCTGCAAATATTCTACTACTCTATTCCAACTAGAATTACAGGGATATTTTTTGCTGTGTCCAGTTCTGCGTTCCCAGTAGAAGAGAGAGAGATGTGGAGATATTGCACTGAGCCCAGCTCAGAGCTGCTGAGGTGATTAAGGTGTTGGAGCATCTCTCGCATGAGGAGAGGCTGAGAGAGCTGGGACTGTTTAGTTTATAGAAGGCTCTGAATGATCTCATCAGTGTATATAAATACCTTATGAAAAGAAGGAAGAAGAGGGAGCTGGGGCCTTCCCAGTGGTGCCCACAACAGGACAAGAGGCCAAACTGAAACACATGAAATTCCACAAGAAAATAGATTACTGAAGGGGTAGTCAAACACTGGCACAGATTATCCAGAGAGGCTGTGGTTCTTTGGTGTGTTGACCTGCTTGCAGCTGACCCTGCTTTGGGCAAGAGGACTGGATCAAACAATCCTCATGCAGCCCCCTTCATGTCAGTGCAAAAACTCAGAGGCCTCTGGCTTGCTGCCTCCTCCTGATGTGTTTTCTCATCCCTGGAGCTGAGCAAGCAGTATCTTTACTGGGAGGTAATTAGTTCAATAATTTGTTGCTGAAGAGCTGCTCAGCTCCTCCTCCTCCCTGCAGCCAAATACTTTTCCAGCTTCTTCACTGCCTTTTTGTGGTGTGGGTTCACATTTCACAGCTTTTTCCTTGAGCTGTTTTCAGTTGTTACTGAGTCCTCTAACTCAAACACTGCCATTAACTTTGTTATGATATGACTCCAAGACTGCATGGCATCAGGTAGTTGCAAAATATACCTCTAAATCTATAGAAAAAGAATGTAAATAAAACAAGGATGAGGAAAGAACTGAAGGAGTTTCTGGAAAATGCAGAAAAATTATTTTGCTTTAGTTCACCAAATATGGTCCATTCAAGCATATATAATTAGAGTACCTGCTGAAATATATAGCAGCCTCTACATCTGAGACTCTCTTGCACTTTGTCACCTTAGCCCTACTGTCAAGTTATCCCATTATATTTATCTGCCCTGAAAATTACCACATTATTCCCATCCTGAAACACTGTCATGCTTTTCACTTAGAAACTCTTCAGCTCCGTGGAGAGTTTATTCCACTGAAATTTATTTTCTGTATTCAGCCCTTCTCTGCAAGCTCACCTGAATGGCTTGTCTCTGTAAGCTGAAATTCTTGTCTGGATTTCCAACACAAGTCTTTTACCCTGGGAGCAAGTGTTACTCCTCTTCTGTGCAGCTGGTTTGCCTTCTCCTTGCTGTCTGACCCCATGGTACTCCAGCAAGGCTTAATCTCCAAGGAACATCATGTCCCACTGCACTTGAGCTTTTTCCCTTCAGCGTTTTTTATTTTTTGGTGAGAGCCCTAGCAAGGACACCTAGGTGGGAAGATTACTTACGAGGTCCACGTACCTCCCATTCTTCTTGCTAGTCCTGTTTGTGCTGCATCTGCTCCGGCTGTCCGAGGAGACCCGGTGTGTTCCTGCCCAGCTGCTCCCGGCTCAGGGACCCCTCCGCATCCCCTGCCCTCCAAAGGCTCCCAACACAAGGGCCCCGCTCTGTGGCTGCAGCGGACAATTACATGCCCCGAATGCAGGGTGCAAAAGTAGCCTGAAGGAGCCCTTTTTTTTTTTTTTTCTCTCTCTCCAAGAAAAGTGGGGGCTTGCTTGCCTGGAGCATTCCTCAAGCTGCTTTACCCCTCAGTGCTGGGGCAGTTTGATGTGCCAGCGGGACACAGCCCTGTGCTCGCACCACTGCCCCACAAAGCTCCTGCCTCGCTTACACCGCCCAAACTGTCCGAGAGGGGCTTGGCCAAGGTCACTTTCCTGATGCCAAATCCCGGTGTTCTCCCAGCTTCTCCCAGCCCTGTGCTTTGGAGATAAAAGCAGCATCAACCTCCTGTGTACCCCTTTCCAAGGGCAGGTAAGCCATTAGTGTAATCATGATAATCACCATGCAGGTGACAGCAAGACCCAGGTCAGTTGAGCTATTTTTCACTTCTGTTTTCTTTGTTTTAGATCAGTGAGAGATGATCACACTCTGAAAGTCTGAAAAGGACTGGTGGCTCGTAGGCTATCAATGTTTATAGAATCTTCAGGTGCTTTCTGAAAATTGGACTGGTTCCTTGGCATAGTTTCACTTCACCTTCTGTCTCTCATAGACAGCAGCAGAGTGGCTGCATTTGTTTGAGCTCCAAAATATGCAGTTTTAATATAATAAATGTCTTTAAACAGCTTCACTTTTAAAAATCAGAAGCAGAAAATTAAACTTTTAAAAAGTATAATCTAATGTATAGCTTTTTAAAAACAAAATTAGAATTTTTCCTTTGTAATTTTTTTTTTGCCAAAATATCTATTTCTAAAGAGAAAAGCTATGTGATTAAATTGTAAAAAATGGAGCATTTTATGCCAGTTGTGCTGGCATAATTATTTTTGCCCAGAGATTTTTCTAGATAAGACATTCTACTGTTTTAGGGGACAAAAAATTATCCAAATATTTGTCTCCTCAAAAAACAAGTGTAGGTGTCTGTCAGGGCATTTTTTGCCACACATATTTACTTATGAAGCTTCACTTCCAACTCTGAATGCTGATCTGGTCATATAGACCTGGTCCCAGAGTACAGCTACATCTCTCTTTTTTGTTTGTTTGTTTGTTTGTTACAGAGTATTATTGATTAAATATAAGGTGGAGACTAAGCTTCTACTTAATGAATTGTGCCCTCACTGTTCCTTCAACACAGGCATCAGTTTGTCATTTGTTTTAGAATATTAGCCAAAACCCGTAAATCATTTGTGTGGCTTTTTCTTGAGCTTGGGCTCAGCAGTTGCTGACAGGTAAGAAATTGCTGTAAAGGACACATTTATGATGGAGATTCCCTGTGTAGTTCATTCAGGGCAAATCCTGCTCCAGTTCCCTGGATGCTCTTCAGAAACTGTTCTTTACATGTCCGGAGAGGGTTTTTCAATGAGAAATGCCTCTATCCTCACATTTAATTTTGCATGGTATTGTAACATTGCTGGAAAACCCATAGGAGTGTGCCCAGTTTCCACAGTAAGAAGTCTGAAGAACAACTAATGCACATTTTCAGTAGTTTCTTTAAAAGAGGAGCTGCTTCATGGTTTTCAATTTCCATTCATGCTTTGAGGTTGGTTTTATTCAGAAGTTAACTTCTGAGTGGACATGTCACTGTATTTCTGCAGGAATAATTTTCCTTCACTAACTTTACTATATTTGAGAACCTCGCAAATACACTATTTTAGATTATGGTCCTATGTTATATTCCTGAAGAAATGCCTAAATTTGCCATTTCAGCCATCACTATGACAACAAGTGCCTGTAGGGGAAAAGGGCAACCCTAATATCTGCTCCTAACAGTGAGTGAAAGGCTGAGCTAGATCCGCCAGACAATTCCAGGTGCTCCAGATTTCATGGTGTTTGTTGTAAGAGACTATCAGCCCTGCTGATGTCAAGTGAGGGGCAAGTCTGAGCTTCACAGTGGGTAAAGTGAGATCCTGTGGTCCCATCCTGCCCTAGAAAGGGTATTGAGTACACAGATTCCCTCCCACATTGCCACATTCTCCCTCTTCATCTGCTCTTTCACAGGCTGGTGGCCCAGGGAGGATCTGGAAGGACCATGCCCAGATAAATCTGTGCATTGAGAAGGGACCCTGCAGCCCTGTGCTACACAAAAAAAAACAACTTTCAGAAATAAACCTCTTGATAAAAGTATTAGAAATTTATTACAAAACATTGTAGTTAATTTTGAAAGTAAAGAAGATTATGCTGACAGATTTAGATCTACTGAGAATTCAGAACTAAGTATGTTATTTAACCAAAGGCACTTTCTAATGTCTAACTCATCAGTATTCATTCAGTGGAAACAGAGCTTGCTGTGATGAAAAAAAAATATCAGGTACTGTAACTTGAACTTTGGCAAGATCAAAAGCAATTAGTTGGGTACTGGAAATCAGAGTGCTTTCAGCTGAAGTGGAAGGGAAGGCAGCAAAAAAAGAAAAAAAAAGCTGCATGATTTTGCATTACAGAAAATTATAATTTTCATGCTGGATTATTATGCTGTAATAAAAGGGTTGTTGCAGAGGAAAAATGAAAGTGGGAAAATCAGGAAGACAGACCAACCTTTGCTCAGCTTGGGTGCTCCTATCCTTTGTCATCTGGATTTGTTCAGTGGTTATCAAAAAAGCAGAACTCTGCTGTTGCTCCCTCCCGCACCCTAGTCCATCTGAGTAGCTGT